AACAGGTCTGTTCCACAGGTGCTGGCATCAGTCAGAAGTAGGCAGCCACAAACCTGTTGTGGTTGAATTGTGTCTCACAAAATAGATACTGTAGATTCCTAAACCCCAGTACCATAGGATGAGACCTTATTTGGAGGTAGGATCTTCAAAGGTAATGAGGTCATTAAGATGGATACTAATCCAATTAAAATTAGATCTAAAGGTGGGTGTCCTTATCAGAAGGGAAATTTGGACACAGATCTATGCTCAAGGGGAAGCCCATGTGAAGATGAAGGCAGTGATCAGGGTGAGGTTTCTATAGGCCAAGGAGCTCCAAAGGATTGCCAGCCAACACCAGAAGCTAGGAGAAAGGCCTGGAGCATATGCTTTACTCTCAGCCCTAACAAAGAACCAAACCTTCCAAACCTTAGTTTTGGACTTGGATCCTCTAGAACTGTGAGATTAGGAATTTCTGTTGTGTAAACCACCTATTTTGTGGTATTTTATTATGGCAGCCCCAGCAGACTTATACAAATATCCAGGATGATCCTGAAAATCAGTGTTGAGAAGTCCTCTCAGAGGGCACTTTGTGCAGGAAGAGAGATGGCCTGAGGTGTGGATTAATACCTGACCATGGGCAGTGACTCATGGATAGGGATTTTTTTTAAGTGTTTTAATAGAACACAACCAAACCCACTGCTCTAATTTCACATGCAATTCCTATTTTGTTACCTGGTTTACCCTGCCCAACCCATTTTTGAAGCAGCCAACAGAGTGGTGGTTGGATTACATGACATGGAGGGAGAAAACATGAAAATATTCACTAATATTCACCCTCAAAAGGAAAGCATACTGGAACCACCCAGTGAACAGCTGTCACACCTGACGAGCTCCAGATACTCTTAGTTCTATAAGCCCACATAATCCCTTGTTCAATGAGCCCAAGTCAAGGAAAAATCAACTTTTTTCTATTAAGAATACTTTTACTAAAATATAGGAGTGTTCAATATACTTTGAGCTAAATGTCTTTAAAATACCAAAATAAAAGAAAAACACATTAAATGTACTTAAATTATAAAACGGTTATCTAGAAAATTAAATTTTTATGGAAACAATTAAAAACATCCTATCATATAAGGCATAACTTTTTAGTTTTACCATGAATGTCCAAATAAATTTAGCAAGATATGCTTAGATGAATTAATATATTCTACTATTTATACATTGTTTTGAATTCTCTTACTATTCCAATTTTGGAATTACTACTCTAACCAAAATTTTTGTATTTAAAATATAAGAATATAAGAAGCAATTTAACAACATTCTTTTAAGAGTAGAAATTTTGTATGCTTTTGAAATTAATATCAGTTCAAACTAGGCTGCTATAAATTTAAGATATTAAATGTAATTTTTCTTGTAACCATTAAGAAAATATCTTAAAAGTTACATAAAAGAATATAAGCCAGGTAATGTGGCACATGCCAGTTGTAAGGAACGGTAGAAAAGCTCCGTCCGTAAACTTAACAAGCCAAAAGAACCATTTACCTGTCTGAGATTTTATTAGAAGAGAAGGGGGTGGAGAGGGAGGGAAGGGGAGGGGAGGGGAGAGAGAGAGAGAGAGAGAGAGAGAGACATCAAACACGCACATGCACAAATGAGGTAGGTGGGAAGCAGACTGCAGTTCTCAGTACTCTTACAAATTTTAGTGTGAAATTATTTCAATCTCTTTTTTTAAACAAGAGACATTATACGTTCATAAACATGAGCATAAATATGACCACAAA